ATCTCCGTCCGATGGATTCCGATAAAATTCGATGACCGTTTGTTTAATANGAATTTCTACAATAAAATTTCGCCACGCTCGAGCGAAATTCGATTAAATAAATCTCTTTAATTGGATCCGTATCGATGAACATTATACGATCGAATAATAATTTTATCGATGATTAAATGTAAATCTTAATTTTTTTCTTATAGTTTGTAAATTATTACGGTATCGATATTTAATTAACTCGAAAAGATTCAATTTAAATTTGACGAGGATGAATTAATATTCACAAAAAATTGTCGAACGAGAAAGAATCAAAAAGGAAAAGAAGAAAAGTTAATCAATCAATTAATACCTGAATAACAATAATTGCCTATACTCTTCGTATAACCTCAAAATAATTCGATGCTACAATTAATTTATTCGTATATCCTGAATGAATATTATAAATTATTCAACCGTTAAAATCTTACTACATTTCTGAGCGTGTTAAAAAGTTTTATACACGTTTTATAAAGAGAAAGGAGGAGAGAGAGAGATTCGAGAAAGGTTCAACGTTCGATCGTTACGTACGTGGAAGAATGAAAAAAATAGTCCAACGGAACATTTAAGCTAAGGAATAATCACCGACCGCGCAAAAATGAAACGCCTCATCGCCGACGAAACTCGTAAATCCTCCATATTTACGTGGCAATGCAGACGCGCAAGTAGAAGCGGACCGGCATAGTCAGACGCGCTAGACTTGTGAGCTCACGAGGGCGGTTGGCGAAATAGAGGCGGAAATTACTTGAAAAATTAATGAGATTAAATTTGATTGGAATAAAGTCAACTTCATTTAAATATGCTCGAATTCGTACGTATAATTATACGTATAATTTTTTTCTTGTAACCTCGAATAATTCGATGCTACGGTTGATGTATAGATCGAACGATAAATTGTTCAATCGTGATTCTTAATTTAAAACCGTTAAAAATTTTACTCGTTTTTGAACAGGAAGCGGCCGATTCTGGTGTTTCCTCGTATTTCCGTGGAAATCGGCCACGAGCCCCAGTGTGTGCCAAGTTCCGCGCGAAATTTATTAAAGTTCACGGTAGAAAATTAGGAGGAGACCTCGAGCTTGGGATCGCATGGAATGCGGGCCAGGAGCCAAACAACGACGCGTACCATTCTCGCGAATTTAACGCGCAAGAAGGAGCCACCCATTAACGAATTGGCAAAGTTTATTCCTTGTCAGGTTTTGGCATTAAAAAGGATGTTTAGCTTTGAGCGAGATGTTTTTGGAGGGTGTTGAGAAATATGGTGGATTAACTTTTGAGGTTAGTTTCCATGGTATAAATAGGGAATACTCGAGGAGACTCGGTTTTAGTATTTCACGTGTTTTGAAATAGCGAAAGGATAAATTGTGGGGAAATTTATATTAGCAAATTTATTATTTTTGATAATTTTGTTTTTTCTTAATTCTCTATAATGTGAAAAAAAGGAATTTGTACGATTATTTAAATACTTTTCAAATTTTTGTATCCTCGATTCTTTTTTAAAATTATCTCTCTATCTAACCGATACTAAAAAGTCCCTAGATAGAATCAAAATCACGATAAAATTTCTCCAAAAAAAATTACAAAAAGTCCCTATCGATATCCCTATCAAACTATTATTCGTTACCACAAATACTTACATACACTTTGACTAACTTTTCAACGAAATTACCCAAAGTAAAATATCTCCTACAAGAGCGAGAAAGATCGAAAGAAATTCATCATATCGTATCGATGCACGGATCGTAAATACATTACATATCCCTCGTGCATGTGCGACACATGAACCGATCCAACAGGACGTTGGCCTCTCTCGATTATACGGCAAGGGGGACAGGAGTCGCCCCGTGACAAATAGAGGGTGGTAGAAAGAGGAAAAAAAACAAAAAACACGACAGCGGGAAAAAAAAAAAAAAAAAAACGAGAGGAGGAAAGACGGGGAGAGAGTTGTGGTGACGTCATAACTCGGTCAGTGAACCGTCGGAGCGCGTGTCTTACGTGTTTCAAAAACATTCGGCGCCGTCTCCCTACGTGCATAATACGCTAAAGCTGCCATCGCTCCTCTCTTTCTCCCCCTTTCTCCCCAACGTGTCACGTTGTTTTCTTTTCGCGGGCTCTCGTATTTCTTCTTCGTGCCTTTCTCTCGCTCCATCACGACGGTGCCCCCTGTCACCGCGCACTTATGGACGCGCCTTTACACCGTTCTTCTCTGTACACGACGTGATTCCCTTTGCTGAGAGAAGTGACGATTCTTCTCACTTGTGAAAATGAAAAAGCGAGTAAAAATATTTGTATAAAAGATCTCGAATGTCCGTTATTACCATCGATGAAATTTTAACGAGGATTGGTAAAAATTTGTCTTTGATTTTAAGAGATTCATAACAGCGAGACACTCGGTATAATAGTGGTTGTTTTACTTTTTCACTGCAGTTTTCTTTTAACGACAGTTTGTCCCAATTTTCAGTTTCTCAGCCTTCGGCCAGCTTTTCATTTCTCCCGCCAGCGGAGCATTGTTCTCTCCGTTTCCGTTCACATGTTTTTTTGCTCACCTGGCCAGTTTCTTAACCGTTAAGCGGGTTTCCTTTCGTAGCCGCCTCTCGATTTCCTCCTTCCCTTCGATGGAACACGCCAGTCTTACCGGTGATAACACGCTTTCCAACCCGTTATCACTTTTCGTATACGCGTCCCTCTCTGCCTTTCTATTTTCTTATTTTATTCTCCTATCATTCATTGTCTTATTCTCATCTCAAGTTTGAAAGTGTAAATCGACGAACTACCTTGCCGTTGATATATTATCTCGATCGAAAAAAATTTCATTTTTACTAATACTAAAATCTTTAACAAACTTTAATTAATTCTTTAATTCTCCATTTTCCATAAGAACATTTGCACGTATCTTTTTCCGAATAACCAAAAAATCTGTTCAGAAACTTTTGTGTTAAACAATAGACTTAATAATCGTCCAAACTACTTAAATATTCCCAATAACCGAATAATTAAAATTATTTCCCCCTCGAATCTAATATATTTTCGATCGACTGTACACTCGAACAAATTCCTCGAAAAGCCGTTCTACGAATCGTTTCACTTTCCCTTTTCACCGCGTCGTGATAGGTAGCACGTCGTCGTGGTCGTCGTCGCGGTGTAAACCAGCCGGCGGAGATGACGTTCACGGTCGTGAGAGCTCCGTTCTGGAGCGGTCCAGTTTCCTGCTGGCCGAGAGAGACGACCGCTATATACCCGCAGCGAAATATCGTCGGCCGCCACTTTCTCTCTCCGCATAACGGATCCTCTTGTGTAACGGACTCCCGGCTGTCGAGAAAATGGCACGTTCGTCCGCGGCGGCCAAGGCAGGGTGTGTCGACCGCGGCGGGATTCGCCTTAAGCCCCGTGCACACGATTCGAATCGATCGCCGGCGCGTGACGAACCGACATGACCGAGGAGAAATTGCCGGTTTCGTTGAAACGGGTTGAAAAGAGATTTTTTTTTTAATAAGGATTCCGAGAATTTATTTTTTATTTAACGAGCGTGTCCTGCGTCAAATTATAATATCGTATTGATAGAATTATTTACACGAGAGAAATTTGTAAACTGTAAATTTGTGGTATTTATATAAAAAAAAGATATATAAATACTTTTTCTCGAGTACGTGTCAGTTGATATATGTACTTTTTTGTCAAATTAATTTCTTACGTGATTATATATATATATTTTTTCAAACTTTATATCGTATCCCCTGTTTATTTCACTTCGTATAAACGTTAAACGTTTTTATCCACTACTCTACGATTTAATTTTTCGATTACTCGATAAAATTGGAGAAACTTTGAACAAGTTCGTTTAAAAAAAAGCGTAAATTTGGCGGGCGGCGAGGCGCATGCGCGGATCCGACAAAATGGCGGGAGACGAGAGAATCGAATTTCCTTTCATTAAGCAGCTTAATGGTTTCGTTCGAGTGGAATTTCAAATAGGCGGCTAGGAAACAATGGGCTGTTTAATTGGCTGTTTTACATTGATTTAACTTAACCAACCGCGTCGAGAGCCATTATCGGCCGTTTTATATAGTTGCGCATACTTTCCTCGAATGATTAAGTGGAACTATTAATCAGTCACATAATAGAATTTTAAAAGCCCACCATTGAAGCGCCTGATTCCAGCCATCCATTCGACCAGAAATATTAGTCGACGTAATCGACAGGGCCGAGAAACGATCCATTTTAATTGACAGATTTATGCGTGCGACAAATTGCTCAAAATATATACACGGCGTAAATATTATTCGAACTCTTTTTAAATCGATTTTTTAAAACGAAAGTACCAAAGTACCAAAATATCTTGGATGATTTTTAACGTATAAAGCAATAACAAAACAACAGCTTCCAATGCAATGTACCGATATTGCATTGAAATTTTACCTCGATACAAAATAGTAAAGGATCCAAAAAGATCCATGGAACACAATTCCAGCAATAAAACCAAGAAATTGCCTCTAGAAAATAACGCTTGGAGGGAGAGAAATTCAAATTTCCACTTCCCATTCTCACGTCATATCCTCGCGTGAATTCCACGGCGACCGCGGATCAACCATTTCAACCGCGATGGAATTCCAAAGGCGACAGCGACCGTACGTTTCCCTTCGGCTCCAACACGGCTTGGCCTCGCGTGTCCCCGAATTATCAAACACGCGCGCGTGAACGCGTTTCGAGGCGAGGAAAGTCCACGGCACTACGTGCACGGCCGTTCAACAACGATGGTGGCCCCGTCGTTCCTCGTCGCGCTCTTCGAAGGTGTGGCACGGTGACACGAAACTTCCTCTACAAGATTCGCGGTTTCCTGCCTTACACAATCCCCCTTTTGGACGATTAACTTAATCCTTGAACAGAAATTCCTCTCCCCTTCTACTATTCAATCATCTCTTTTATTAACAGATAATAAAAGAGAATATAAGGAACAAAGAAATCTTCGATAAATTTGAAACGAATCCAAAAAGAGCGCGAAAATTCCTCTCTCTCTCTCTCTCTCTAAATTCTCTTTTCGCTATCAACGGAGATCGGCAAGAGAGAGAGAGAAAAGAGAAAAAAAGGAGCGAACCCGAAAAACCGTAATGTCGGTTTCGCAAGGAGGAGGGAGGGGGAGGCTGTTGCAACGTTATCGTAATTGATTTAACGATCGCGATTAACGAGCGGGCCGATGCATCCCCGGGGGTACGTGTCAGATGGTAATAATAGACACAAAGTGGGCTGGATGTTACGAAACGGAAATGCACGTCCACGCCGCCGGGTTTTGCTTACATTCGTGTTTAATGCGTAAACGGGGCCGTGTCTTGGGTTAAAAGGCGGCCCTCCTCCCCTCCCCTCCGCTCTCCATCCGAGATACCGATCTTCCATTCCGCCCTACCACCGTAACCCTACCACCGTTTCTCGCTTTCGCCGCAATTCAATCCAACCTCGATCCTCTTCCCGCTCCTCTTTCTTTTTCTCCCCTCCCCCCCTCCTTAATTTTTCTCTTCTTTTTCTGTTGTTTGTTTTCATCTTATCCGATGTTTCTGCTCGCGTATGTTTCAGTACCAGGCGAGGCTCAGGCTTCCGGACACGTTCTCGCACTCACAGAAGATGCAGTGCGTGGATCATATCATCGAGGTCCTCGACCTCGCCACCTGCCAAGACACCAGTGAGTATATATATATATATATATATATATATATGATATTATGATCGATGGATCGCCATTTGGATATGATATTACATCATTGATTCGATACAAGATGATAGTTCTTCGAGCTGTTGATAATTTAATGAGAGATATATTTTTTGTAATAAATAATTCGAAGTGAATGAGAAACGGGAGAGAGATAAGAAAGGTAGAAAATAATTTCACTCTATCCACATCCCCTTGCAAGATCGTTTAACGATTTCTCTTATATATTCACTTTCCAGCAACGAGCGATAAGATTAAAACGGCTTCTAGCTCGCGAAACTAGGGCGATCTTTCGCCTCGCGAGCATGTATAAATTCGCCGTAATTTGTTTATGGGCGGCGAGCGAGATGCCAGTGGCAATTTACGACTTCCACCGGTAAGAAACAACCGGGCCACAACCACGGGCCGATGGTCGTCGCGCCATAGACGTCGCCGTTGTTCCGCCGATTTCGATCCGCCGTTTCCGGGATCGTAACTCATTCATCTTTCGCCGTTAAACGCTCGTGGAATCGTTTGTTATCGTGTGCTCGAGTGTTACGTTGCTCGGAACGTGAACGTTTCTTCGGGCGTTTCGATATCCGTCCCCTTTGGAAACTCTTTGAAATCCTTTTAAGATGTAAAGGTTTAATCAAAATGATTTCCATTTTGATTTTTTTTTAATGATGATTTCTTTGAATTTTGCTTTGAAATTGAGGGAAATGTTACAGTTTCTGGATCGTCGAATTCGAAAATGTTAAAAATAATTGTTCTACTAATTGTGATGTTATAAATATTTTACTTTTTTAATTTTATAAAATTTAATAATTACGAAGGAAAATGCGAAATAGTATTATAAATTTGAGATAGGAGTTTTAAAGATAGGAAAATATTTTTAAGCGCCCTAACTCGAAATAGAATGAGATAGAAATCGTAAAAATTTCCTTCTAGGGAGAAAATCGAATAACTTTCGACCCAATTTCATCAGGTAGTTGGTACCATCTCGCGAATGGAAGATAGTTTCGTGAATTTTTGATGTAAAAATAGCGGAAACTATTGATTAGATATTAAATTCGATTGTTTTCTGAATAGTTTGAACGATGAGGTCTGTTTATGAATTTTTTATATTTTTCAATAGAATCTAGAAACATTTATACTAAAATTCTATACTATTTCTAATGGAAAAAAATCTTAGAATTTTCGAAACACATCAACAAACTTTTCAGAAAACAGAGATTTTATCATTTTCTATTTCCAAAAAAAAAAAAAAAAAACTAACTAACGTTAAAAATGAACACGAAGAATTGAAATTAAATTTGGAAAAAAAAAACTTGAATTCAAAAAAAAAAAAAAAAAAAAAAAAAAAAATGAGTGATATTTAGTTACGATATGAAAGAACAAAAGAGCATCGTATTTCCTTTTTTTTTTCATTTTCCATCCCAAATTACTGAATCAATGAAAAAGTGAAAGGTGCAGCTGAAAAGCGATCTCCGATAACGAGAATAATGCTTTTATTGGATACCAATCCAACGAATATAACCATGCATGCGAAAAATCATTTTTCTCCGTTTATTCTTTTTTTTTTTCCTTTTGACAGGGAGGAGGTTTGACCTATGTGTTTCATCGTTGATTAGCTTTATCGATCGAAATCTTCTTCCTTTTTTTTTTTTTTTTTTTTCCTTTCTTTGTACAAGAATGCCACAGGTTTGTCACGTACGTAATCCAATTTCGAATCGTTTTTGAGTTCGACGAAGCGCGAGACAAATCGGACAATGCAATTTTACATTTCAATCGGAGAGAGAATCGGCGATACGAGAGAATTTTCATTCATTAACCGATGAATTCATATCGAGTTTCGATTAATTTCGGCGAGGGAAATGAAATCGATGGCAGTTGCGGAAATATTGTTATAAATGAGAAAGAAATTTTGTGTTTCTTTTTTTCGATCTTCTTCTTAATTTAACATATATATTTTGGAAAATACGAAAATTGTAATAATTGGATCGATTTATTAAAGTGATTTTTTTAATTCGATGAATATAATTGTTAAAAGTTATAAAATTTGCAATTTTAATTTATTATACGCGAGATATTTCGAGGGAAATCGATCGACAAAATTTTAAATAATTATTTTATAAATGTTTTTCAATTTAATAATTCGTTGATTAAAATTTATTTTTTATTTCGAACATGTCTGGCTCAGGTCCGTGGGTACGCCACCACCCAAAGGACTCACGAAAGCGGGCACAAATTAATTAATCTATTTAAGAACGAAACTTTCAAGAGTTGCTCTCGATAACATATTTCTCTTTTCAAGTGGACAACGCATTCAAAATTTCATTTTCAATACATTGTCCACCCCGAGAAAACAATTTTCAAGAGGATACTCTCGACAGTTTTCTCTCTCGAATAGATTCGAAACCCGTCGGTCCTCCTTGCGGAAAAGTGTTGAACGTTTAATTGTAATTTTATTGTATTTCAATTTTTATAAAAAACAATTGTAAACGATATTCTTTCTAATAACATTTCCCGCGTTCGATTTAAAATCACGATGCTGAATCAAACCACCAACACCAATATTTTTCTGTGCGAATTATCCAAATATCGAAGATCACGTTCAATTATACATCGATTAATCGTGAAGTGAAGATATCGAGGCTTATTTAATTTATTTTATTTTTTTTCAGTTATCGGAGATTACACGAAACGAGGACTCTCCGGTGGCGAGAAGAAAAGGACGAGCATAGCCTGCGAGTTGCTTACCAATCCTTCTCTTATGCTGCTCGACGTAAGTTTCTCCAAACATTAAAAACAATATCTTGTCGTGTATTTGTAGAAGAATTAGAATAATTATAAAGTTTCGAATTTAATCTTGTTATTTGTTCGAGATGAAACGTATCAAACAGAATTATTACATAAATTGGAACCAACAGGAACCAACGAGCGGGTTGGACTCCCATTCGGCACAGGCGTTGATTTCACGGCTGAAGAAGTACGCGGAACAAGAGGGGAAGAGCATAGTGATAACAGTGCATCAACCCAGCTCGAGGATGTTCCACAGTTTCAGCAAGATCCTGCTGCTGAGCCGTGGCCAAGTCGCGTATTACGGCCTCACGGCAAACATCGGCAGGTTTTTCTCCACGATCGGACTCACCCTGCTCCCCCACTACAACCCCGCTGATTTTATACGTGAGTAACCTTATCGATTTTCTTCCACTCTTCTTCTTCGCTCGCGGGAAAATTTAAAAATATCTTCTCGATATATAAATTCGTGTAAAATACTTATCTATCCAATCGTGTATATTTCAAAAATAAAAACATTTCAAAAATAACGCCTCGCCTTTGACAGTGGAGCAAATAAAGGGGCCAGAAGAGGTTCGGGAGCGCATCGTTGCCGCGGCGAGGAACGCGAGACAGGGACCTGACTGCCCGCCGGAACTTCGCCCGGACTACAATCCAAGCCAACATCCGCTCTGCGACCATCTGATCCATTATCACGAGCACCACATCAGCCACAACGGTATTGCATAGTGTTCATAGACGCGCCAAGGGGTTATCGAGTTGGTTGCGGTTCCGGTTCAATAGCTTAAAAAAACTCCAGGGGGAGGGGGGACTCTCTGGGTCAACGTGTCTGCGAGTTTTCCATCGATTTTTCTTTCCCCCTTTCTTTCCCCGTTTCGAATCATCGGTCAATTTCAAATTGGGATTGGAAATGGTTTTCTTTTTTCTTTTTTTCATAAAAAATGGATTTTTAATTCGAATCCTATAATCCTATAATAACACTACATCCCAAATGTATTTTCTTTCAATTATTTTAGAATTTCCGATCCACGAATGAATGCGAATCATTTGTAACGTAATCGTTCCTCCAGGCGTCGATTGATTAACGGTTTTATAAATGGACTGTCGAGCAATAATACGGGGATTTTTCGCTGGGAGGGGGAGGGATGATTCTTCTCATTTTTTCCTCCCCCTTCCCTTTCGCGTGCAAAGGTCGATCGAAGGATCGCCGAGGGGGGAGGAGGAGGAGGAGGGCGTCGAGGAGAAAACATGGCCGACACGAAATGGATCGCACGTTTTGCTCGTCTTATTCCCCTCGATCGTGATCGCTCGATTCTTCGATTTTTACAACCCGTTTCGACGACGCGTGGCTCGCCCATTAATCGGACAATCAGTTTCTCGATCAAAGATTCTCCGCTCGAAATTCAATGTTTTCAATAGTGCAATTAACCTGTCAAGGATTAATTAAAGGGGATATTATTTTTTTTAATGGATATGCAATAATCCTCTCTCTCTCTCTCTCTCTTTCGCGATCCTTTATTCTCTTTTCGAGCGTTGAGTTTTTGAGATAATAATAAATTCGAAAAAGTTGGGAAGGTTCCCTCCCTCCGCCACATCTTTCATCGTGTCCATGATTTACAGTGAAAGAAGACGAAGGTCGCACGCTGTGGTTAGACACGCAAAGCCATGCCAGCAGCAGCGCCAGTTCCGCGGACGATGACTATACCTGGCAGTGGCCCACCAGTTTCTGGTCGCAATTCAAAGTGAGTATTCCAAACAAAGAGATCAGATTAATTAATCCCCTCGAACAAGAGATTTTAGAAAATTAATAATAATTCACTCCTTTGGAAAAAAAAATTCAATCGAATCGAATATTTCTGTTCAAAATATTATTCTTCTCGAGTGGACGAATTCGAAGGAAATACGCGAAGATCGAATGCGCATAACGCAAAAGAAGAAGCGAATTTATCGTTAGGGAACGGGATGAACCGGACTCGGTTCCGTTACTCGCCGAGAAGTAGTGACGTCAGTTTTAGCAATTGAAAACAGAATCGTCACGAGATCGTCCCGCACGATGCTCCGCTTCTCGTTAACTTTCCGATTTCACTTCCCTTCCCGCGCCATTTTGAATATTTTCCCTTTCCACTCGTCTCTCTGCAGCATTCGAGTTAACAAACAACGTTTAGGGAAAGATCAAATAATAAATAAGGGATATATATATATATATGAATCTTAAATAAAAGTAAATCCGTTGTTGAAGTGAGTATTAATGTATCTCCATAAAAAAAAAAAAAAAGGTAATCGAAGCGAAACACGAGAGAGAACGAAGGAGATAAATTTCCATTGGAACAGAACGAGAGGAATAAGAATAAGAAGAGAAATTTTCACGTTGAAGCGAAAAATGGCCGTCGTCACACGGCCACATTCCGCCAAGTGAACAGCGGTTGGAAATTATGTAGGGCAACCGCGTCGATCTCCTCGGGAAACAACGCCTCGGTTTCGAATTGGCCTGCACAAGAGAGAAGCGGCTGGATCGAAGGAGAGATCAAAAAGTTCGATCGCATTGCGCGCTTAATAGAGCATGCAAACGGCAATATGAAAATTCAGATGAACGGTATGCAAAGAGATGTATATATAAAGGAATGACAATCGAGATTCGATAATTTTAAAATTCGTATCCAGTCTTTTATCTTTAGCTAGATGTAACGTTGTTTCAGATAACATTCTGCTTGGTATCCCCTTCTTCTTTCGCTCTTTCTTTGTTCCATTTTTCTGGGATGAAATGAAATCTTCCTCTCTCGAAAGAATAATTCGAATAATTCTCGATTATTGGTTATTATATTATCTTTTTCTCATGTGTAATCTCCGTTAATTTCTCCGATTTTTTGAGACACGTTGGTAAGCCTGGATAAGGTATTACGAAGTGTACGTGTAATTAAAAATGGTCGATTCGAAAAGGATCTCTTCGCCATTGTTTGTCATAAATCATGAGTACAAGTTTCTGAAACTGGTTTCAGATAAGAAACAAAGCTTCGAGGGTATTCCTTTTGAAAAGTGAAATAAGCAAACAGCACGAGCACCGCTGTTACAAGTTTCGAGCAGATAAGAGAATTGGATAAGACAGCAACAAGTTGCGATTTCATTTTATTTCGCGGAATGGGACAAAATGGGAAGCAACTTCTTAAATCATTCGGATCGGACAATTTATCAAAATCAATTTAAAACATCTTGCATACATTAATTTATGAAATCAGCAAATTGTAGATTCTCGTGAGAGGAAGATATATCGAAGGAATTTATTAATTAAACGAAACTCGATAAATCTTTATCGATTTCGATTAATATCAGAATTATATCAGGATAGCAAGAAATTCGTTTTGAAATCGATTTCTAAGAACAATTTCTCAATACGTGTCGAGAGAGCACTCACTTCTATCAAAATGATAATGAAAATGGAATTGACTTGAAAAAGAAGAGGATTCATCAACTCAATAAATTATTTTTCGCGATTATTAATTAATTATTAATTAAATTTTGACACAAATAAATTTTCCAACAGAAAAATTCCAAAGAAATATCAAATCTCGTTCTTCCTTAAAATCGAGAATCAACAAATCCAAAGAAAAAAAAACTAACTTCGAATTACATTCTTCCTCCAATAAAAAAAGAATTCGATCGACCAATGAATTGAATAAATCTCTCATCCCTCTGGAAAATTGTCCAACTTCCATCGAATTCTTCGTGATTTTCACAATCGAGAAATTCCTTCCAATTGAGACCAAATATCACGAGGAGTCGCGAGTATCAACGAGAGATCTTCGATCTTATCCTCGACCAATTTATCCCTAAGCTAAGAAAAGAAAGGGGCGCGATTTCGTGGAGGGAAGAGATAAAAGATAGAGAGCTCTCGGTTTAAAGAGGATCGCGGCACGCAGAAAAGAGAACTAGGCCGCGTTTACGCGATTCGCCATATCCGGATAATTACAACGACCGGTATGCCTGTTATGATTGTGGCGCGCTTTGTGTTAACGCATCTCGCCACTTGCATCACTTTTACCAGATTCAACTATTCGAGGAATTTTTTTCCGACGGTGAAAGTCATTTTTCTTTTGAAAATCCCCCAAAAATTGTGGATGGAATTGGAATTTCGAGTAACTTTTTCTTCAACTTACGTCGAGATTAAAAGGCTTTTGATTTCGATTTTATACGAGATATGAAAATAATCCGCAATTTATGATATTTCAATTTTTAGTCATCGTTGAACGAGAAGCCAAGATTATTTCTTGGTGAATCTGCACGCCAGTCGGATCTATGGATCGCTTAATTGAGCGATTAACGATATCGAACCGTGGTCGATCGCGTGGTTAAGTAGCGTAATATAGTTGCAGTTCAAAGAGGCCTTCGAAACCAGCATTGTGAAACTTTGCGTTCTATTTCCTCACGGCCGTTTGATATAATTGAACTGCACCAAAGAGGTGTACCGAGCAACCTTGCATTGTGACATTGTCGAGCACGGGGGCAGCGTTATAGCGAGCACGCCGATTAATAATCAAGCCGTGTATCTCTCTTTCAACCTTACAACTCCTCCTTCAATTTTTAAGATAATACCTCATCAACCGCGCAGCGATATCTAGAATGATCTCGTTCCCTTGACATTTTGAAGAAAGAAATTTTTTTTTCTCGAATTTGGCCACGCTGAATGTTATATGTTGGTACTTGAATTTTTTTAATAATAATTTTTGGTTTCTTTTTCTCTCTCTTTTCTTCAAAAGGATACAGAGATAAGATACAGGATAAAATGTGATAATTTTAAGTTGGAGAGAATTTTTCTTCTCGCAGATATAATAATAATGACTTTTTAAAATTATAAAATTGTTTGATCCTTGACTGCCAACCAGGGATTAAGATTGTGAACTTTGATATTTCCAATGTATCCAATGAAAATTTACTTGTTGCATTTACTTCCAGTGAGCGATCTCTTTTTATTATTGTTAATTTTTGTTTTTTTTTTTTTTTTTTTTTGGAATTTATTAAAGATTCACACTCCTCAAGGAAAATTTTATTTATTAATCGCCTTGGATATACGATTGAAATCCTTGCTACTTTGATACGAATAAGGAATGTACCTTCGAAATGATGGAAGAAATTTCTGATTTTTGAAAAAGTAATATCAATTTTGATTAAAACGAATTTATCCTTGGCTGATTTTAGGTATTATCAGAAAGAAACTTTCAAGAGGCACGACCTCGGATGCTGTCTCGTCTCAACTGGCTTCAAACGATAGCTCTCGGCCTGCTTGCTGGACTGTTGTGGCTAAGACTTCCCAGAACCGAAGCGGCACTTCACGACATCCAAGGATGGATGTTCTTCAGCACCACGTACTGGATGCTGTTCGCACACTTTGGTGCACTCTCCAGTTGTAAGTATCTTTTTTCTCTCTTCTCCTCCTCTTATTATTTGCCCCATATTTAATTTAATTTTAAAATTCGAGCAAAAATTTTATTCAAATGGTATACGTGATATTAATTATTTCTATCCTTATTCTTATTCTTCGAGTACGCACAATTACAATCTTAATTAAAATACTGGATTTCTTACTATTTTTGAGATTTCTTTTTTTTAAACTTCTCTCGTTAAAATCTCAAATTTCTCTTCTTTTTTTACAAGAAAGCGTTGAAAACTGGTGAACGGGAAAAGGAGGTCCAAAGTTTGCCAGGTAGTGGTGGGCACGCCACCGTGCACGTGGTTGCGCAAGAGACACGTAGAGTCTCAGATATGAGGTAGATTGGTTAATTGAGGGACGACGACGTGACGCTCTGAATCGGCCATTCAGCCGAACGCGCGTTTTTTTTTATTGCAAAGATTTGCAAAGGACCAGAGGAACGGTCAATCAAGACGTTAGTATGTAGGTCGTGCCGTGACCCACTTACAATCCGGCACGGCAATTGAGGCCCTTTTGTCGACTGTTGCTCCAAGCTCGAAACGACCGTGACGAATCTCAGACGGGGAATCAGACTGTATAGAACGAGTTAGAAATTCGCCGGCAAAAATGAAACGTACAACCTCGAAACTCCCTCTTAGAATCACCTAGGGAAGAGAGACGAAAAGAAAATTTATCCAATTTTCATCGAATAAATTGTGTTAACTAGTTTCAAATTATTAAAAAAAAAAAAAATTTAATTTTCCATAAAAATCATCCATAGATCACCAAACATTCGTATATCGTATATCGTCCAGTTTCCAATATTATCGAGTCGATCCAATCGATCCACGAGTAATAAAAGCGATGTTACGAGATTACATTACGTCGTAAAAGTTGTTTCACCTAATTAAAACGGAGGAAAAGGAACGAGAATTCAGGTGACAAACGGACAAAGGATAAGGTTAAGCGATAAAATTGAAAAGTTAATAGGCACTAGACTATTTTAGGAGGCGCATAACTTGACCATAGACTCGGTCGCGGGGCTAGGCTCGCCATACGTTCGTCGTTTTACAGTCATTGTCCCTTATCCCCCGGTAGAAAGTGAAATGGCTGCGGCTAGACACTAAAAACGAACTTGAGAATGAGACGAGAGAGCTGTAAAAACTGATTTTAGCGTCCTCCTCTCTCCCTTCTATCTCTCACTCGTTCATCCCGACTTTTTTTTATTTTTTATTCTCCCCCCTCCCAAGTATCAATTGCAACTGGAAGGTTGAATCTCTTCTATATATTATACGCGTCTATAAAACTTTTCATTATATTTCTTATAATTTCTTTCCTTTTTTTTTT